CATAACCCCATTTTATCTTGTTCTTTTTTTACTTTGTCTCTACTTCTTTTCTATTTTTTCCTTCAATTTCTACCATCTTTTTATTCGTTTTCTTCTTTTTATTTACAATTTGTTTTTCAATTAGCTTTGTGTTCTTATTCTTCCTTTTTTTTTTATCTTAGATTTTGTTTCTTGGGGATCATTAACCATAATTAGAGACATAATGGATCTTGACATATACCACCACTAATCATTAACCATAAGTAGAGAGGATTTCTATTTAGATCCCTCAAATTCTGCCACTACAACCCACTCTATGCATACTCCTTCATCTAGTCTTGTAGTTGCCGATTCCAAGAAAGCCTTAACTGTTTCTAGTTTTTTTTTATTACCTTCTTTCTTTCCTTAGTGGCTGCTTTGATTTCTTGGCTTCACAGCTCCAGTTCGCCACCCCACAACATTCTCCGGCTGGAATCCCTCTAACTCCGACCCAGTGGGATGGCCTTACATCAGGTGTTCCTCCTCATACAAACTTGTTACAATGACCAATGTCGTCTCTGTTCAGATGGCTTTACCTTTCCCTTTTAACATCTCTTCGTTTAGCTCACTTTAGAAACTCGTTATCTCCAACACCACCCGAACTATCTCTTCCGATATCGAAGATTGCCCTGAACTTAGATTTATAGATTTAAGCTCAAACAGATTCATTGGTGAAATACCTTTGACTGTAGGGAAGCTCAAGAATCTCCAAGAACTCAGTCTGTTAGATTTATCAATATATCAACCACTGCTGTTACACCCTAACCTCACATTACAAACTGGTTCTGGATTTACTTTTATTGTTTTAGTTGTTTTTGTTTTAAATCAGCAATGTTAGTGTATTCAAAATTTGAAAAATGCATGAAAAACTAAACCCTACATCTAACAGTATAAAGCCTATACCCTAAACCCTAACCCAACATTAACTCCCCCCTCTAAACCATACATCCTAACCCACATTATCCTCCCCCCCCCTCCTAAACCGTACATCCTAACCCCACCTTACAAAATGATTCAAGATTTTCTTAAAAGAAGTAGTTGTTTTGTGGTTCTTTCTCTTATCTCTTTGTTCATTGGTATTTAGTGGATCTCCCGTTCTCTAGATTTGCTTTGAGTAAGTTACCCAATGGTTGCTAAACATGACATATGAAGCACCTACATTATTGTTATAGTTTCTTGATTTCGTGTGTATTACCTCCTACAAAAAAATTATGTTGAACCTCTTTGTAATGATATATGACTTACATTAACCTAAAATCTTCAGTGCGGTTTAATATGAGTTATAAATTTCTAATTAGGGTAAAACCAAGCTTCTTTAATACAGTCGAAGACTTTTCGACATCTATTTGGTCCACAATCTCCTGTTGCAAAGTAGTAATTTACATGTTATTTTACTTCTTGCACCAAAACATTATCTTCATACTATGCAAGTTTTTGGGTGGGGCTCATTCTAGAGCTAACATATATGCCTTTTTTTCAAACGGCAATTCAGAAATAGTGTTGAGAGAATTATTTTTTCCAAACCATATATTCGTTATACCATTAACTTAGCTTAGAAGTATCATAATGCTATTCTTTAAGGATTTCCATTATGCCCCAAACTTAGCTTACACTAAGACTCCTTACTTGTTGCTTGTAGGCCTCGGACTTTTAACTTTTAACCGATACCCAAAAATCTGAATTGTGCCAACTCTAAATTTCTATATCCGATTGGTTTCGGGTATAAATCAAATCTCCCATTGGATAAAATATTTTAATACTCATGGATATCAAATAATACCCGAACGGAATCGATACTTGATCTGAAGTATGAGTATTGTGAATTATTTTTGATATTATATGAATTAATTTTTCGGTTTTCCAGATTTTCTTTGGGATTTCGGATACATTTCCAGTATTTATATTTATTCTTTTGTAAAACAAAATTGGGTTAATGGATATTTTTCGGGTTTTTGGGTATTTTTCGGAGATTTTGGGTATATTTTTGGATTTTCGGGTGATAATAATCAGGATATCAAAACCTGAATCATAATAGGAAAATATCGAGTATAATTTGGTTTTTTAGACTTGGACCCGATATACCCAAACCCGAATAAAGATTTGTTTCGACTCACACCGGCTCTCTAACTTAAGAGATATATAACCGCGAGACCATCTTAGTTTGAATTACAATTAAGTCCCCACTTTCACGTCCATCAACTCACATGTTAGTAAAACGTTCATCAAATAATAGTATATGCTAAGAGGTTGCCTTTGGTTGCTCCAATGGAGAATTTGATCTCATCACTTGATGAATACAAAACAATTTTTCTCATCAGTCGATTGGTATGAAGATAAACACTGTTAAGAAGTGGTTACAGGGAAAACTAAAAATTATTGAATATTGAATTAAAATAATGATCTCTATAAGTAAAGTATGGAACCATTAGAGCCATGAACTTTGACTTGCGCTTTGGCTTAATCACTAACGTTAATGATTCTATCAAGATGCATATATAATTAACAGTACAGTAAACATTCAAATAGCAATATGCATACAACTTTAGTAAAAGAAGATTCAGTGATTCACCACAAACCAAGATCAAAATAAGGCGATCGAACCTTCTCTGATTGCCCATATGACGTTTAACCGGTGCATCTTTTTTTTTTTTCCCTTCTAACCTTTGTTTTGACAATAACAATGTGGCATGCACTTGCATCAACATAATTGTATTATAATGCACATGAATTATTCATGAGCTGCAAACTTTTATTCTTAAATAATCATGGGGACATTCCTCCAGTTGCATAAGCTGAACATCTTGGTAGAACACTAATCTTCACGTATAGTAAAAAAAATAGGAAAAGAAGAGAGAAACACATAAATTGTTGGGTAAAACAAAAAAGAAAAAAACTTAATTCAGAATATGAGTTTTGAAACCAAAGAGCAGCCCAAGTAGTTCTGTTTGTTATGGCTCTATGCCATCATTATCCACTAATTTAGTTGTTTGATACAAAGTTATAACGACCGCAATTTATGTTAATCAAGTATTTAGCTAGCTTTGGTTTCCAGCTTTTTCATACCTTTTTACCTTTGTTGACTTCATGACCTTTCAGAAATTTCATGATGGGCTCAAAGTTGTCCAGCAACGACCACACAGTATACATTTATATCCACTTCGTCTGTGTTTCAGTTTTCATCATTAACAAATCACTCTCTCAATATGATGTCTCTGTTTCCTAAGTTTTGTTGCTTGCAAGCATATGAATGAAGAAGAAAAAAACGTTGGCTCACTTGAAAGCCTCAGCGATATTGGCAAGCTAACTCTTGAAAAATGCAACTCTATGCTTATCGTCAAGCATGTGATGGATAGAGGCAGATCCGTCTTCTTCATCATCCATACCTGCAGTGTTGGATGAAGAGATCTAAACAACAATTAGCGAAAGAATTGTACGCAGAAGCCAATCCAGTTCAATACCTTGTGTGTTATGTGAAAAGTAAACCTAAAAACTTGAGTAAGAAATTTTACCAACAACTAATTCAGCAAAGGAAGATTACTTCATAGGTCGTGTTCTTTTCAAAGTCGCTGCACCTGCGACTGCGACTGAGAAAATAGTCATGATTACGAAATTATTCGGTGGTGGCGGAGGCATGTTGCGTCATGAGCGGAGTCGACCCAATCGCAAGACATGAGAACTGTCGCCCATAAATTCCAGCGACTAAAAAAGACGTCATGGACAGCACCCGCGTTCATCTCGAGCGACAGTTCAATGTTATTTTCTTTCCCTCATAGGCTATTTTCTCCATCGCATGTCGTAGCCGCTGGCGACTTTGAAAAGAACACGACCATAGTCAAATCCCAAAGCAGCTTAACATCTAAACCATTATATTAACTCAAAACTCTTAAAATCAGGAGCTGTAGCCTTTTATTCTTATTCTTTACTTGTGCAGTAAGCTTTTTCTTCCTATATCAAGGGTAAGGCTTTACTTCAACCACTTTACGTCTAGCAGAAAATTGAATTCTGAGCTACGATATACAGAGAGGGATTTACCGAGTCTATGGTCTACGATGATTTATATGTTATGATTTCCAAGATAATTAACACGAACAATCTACCTAAAACATAAAGATGAAGAACACGAAGACCCGACTTTGAGATGGACAACTTCTAGCTTTGTATATAGATTTCTAAAATCTAGGGTTTTCTCTTTTTATAAAAATAATTATAATTTTATTCTTTTTATAAGATAAAAATAATGTATTTTTTCCATAATACAAAAACGAATAATTAATAAAAAAGGAAATTTTGAAGATATCGTCAAGATTTTCTATATTTTTTTGGCCTTATACAATAAAACAATAATTAATAAAAAAAGAATTATGAAGATTTAATAATAGATTTTCATTAAGGGTAGCTGGGTAATCAACCAGCTGAGAGTTAACGTGGTGGCTGGAAACGAAATTTTCACTTCGCAAATAATATATTAGATAACATGAATAACTAAACTACTAATAATGAAGCAGCATTAATAAAATTTTGGGAGCTCAAGATTCAAGAATGTAATCAATGAATATAAGCAGCACTAATCAATGAATTTGGTATTGCTTTGTTTAATTATAACATGAATAACTAAACTACTAATAATGAAGCAGCATTAATAAAATTTTGGGAATTTTGAGATCGGCTAGAACTTTCGAGAAACTCGGAACCTCAACTTACTATTGTGTCTTAAATTTGGAGTTTTCTGTTAACCAGTGACACTGACTGAATTCTGAGAATTGCCATTACTCTATAAATTGAATCCGAGATCAAGACTGAGTGCAGGTTTTACTGAAGTCTCAGAAGATTGATTCTATTAGTCACTTTTTAACTATTACATGTATAAGTCAGTGGAAGCAGCTTTTGTTGGTTCTGAATGCGTTTGCTTATGATCGATGGCAGATATTGCATCTCACTTGATTATTGCTTAAATGCAGCATTTTTATGTTATTAGGTACACTATGGAAAGACCAAGGTTCAGTGACCATCTAGAGGCAATCAAGTTTATCTGCAAAGACTTCTGGTCTGAGGTCTTCAAGAAGCAGATAGATAATCTAAAGACAAACCAGCGGGTAAGATTCTCTCGAAAATCTGGAGAAGCTCTTCTTCTGTGTGTGTTTTTCTCACAAAATTGTATTGCAAGACAGCAAGTTCCGATGGCTGTCTCGCGTGTCGCGTCTCAATTGAGCCTTCAGCTGAGAAAGAAACGGAAGATCCGTCATGTACATGTATCAGCACAAGTGGTGAGCATGTACATGTATTTCCCATGTGGAATCATAAGAGGTGTTCTCTGCAGACATTTCAAGCCTTCCCACATATGAGTTCACAGCTTCCTCTTAGTCTCAAAATCACACACTGGAGAGAAGAAAGATAGAAAGTAGTTAGCAAACTCGTTCTTGGTTTAGTACAAAAACTATCGTAACTTTGGCATTTGTTGTATGACTTGAGTTTGGTCACATTAACTTGAGTTCAAGTTGCTGCGGTTTGTTGACAATATCTTTTTTTCTTATGTGCTCACAAGCTCTTTCGTAATTTGGGTCAAGGCTTGATTCTGCATTAGCTCGAGTCCTCGACTTCAGATTCCAGAGAAGCTTATAATCTTATTTCTTGAATAAATGAATCGAAATTTGTTCTTATCCTACTGATCTGCGTTCACTAGCAAGTAGCAACACGGTACAGAGCAATCGGGACCGGTCTGATCAAACTTGGTAGGAGTGGAGGTTTTTCACTCGGCTAATTTCGGTTTAATCGATCATATCCGGTTTAAATTCTGTTATTTCCGGTTTATCCGATATTTGCTGTAAATTTGAAATCCCAGTGAACAAGATCATAGTTTGCTTCGATATCCTGTTTGACTATAAGGCTGTTCTCTTCTCTCTGTTTCTTTCAAAAACCAGCTTTTACGGCTCAATGTGAATGCCAAGTTCTTCAGAAGAAAATTAAGGACACTAAAAATAATATCCATATTTAAGCACATCCACCCAAAATAATAAGAAAGTCTACCAAAATGTTTTTGAAACCAGTAAAACTACAAACCTATTGGCTCAAACTAATTCTAACGATAATGGATTTAACATTATATACTTAAATTACTACTAAAATTATATATATATATATATAACACTGTATTTCATGTTTGAATTACACCTTTTTTTTGTAACATCTACTAGATTGATATTGATTTTGGAAGCCAAATAATACTAAGAATCTGTCATTTGAATCACTGTATTATTGATTAAATTAAATACACCTCAAAAGTTTGCAAACCAATACATTTACAAATTCTTAATAATCAAGGTAATTAATCTAACTATTTACAACTTCTTATTGATTAAGTTATGTTATAATCTAATTTAAATTTGTCTTATTGCATTTTATTTATTATAATAATAATTCTAATAATAAACATTTACGATTTTCTTCAATGTAAATATCTCATTTTAAGAGGGGTCTAATGAAGGTGAAAGATTTTAGTTTGCAAAAATAATAATTGAAAAACTGATGCTGTTTCTGGGTGAATGAAGATGGATGCTCGTATGTTTTATGTACTAGCAGTGCACAGACACGACAATGCAGGTGCGAGCCGCGTTTTTATCTGCAAAGATATAATATTAAAATGATTTCTTACCTGATCAAACTGGTATTCATGTTTGAAGGTTGGGAATGTGATTTATTTGAGGTCATTGTCGGCAATGATTTACAAAATCTCGTCAGCGTTCGGAAGAAATCGAATCATCCTCAAATATTTGATTTTATGTTTTCTTTTGTTTCCTCTTCTTATGAGAGACATTGTTACAGTTAAATATTGAAATCAGCTGAGAATCCACATGGCCAATCCATATATTTACTTTTTTTTGTTTCCTCTTCCTCTTTTTATGAGACATTGTTATAGATAGATATTGGAATCAGATGAAAATCCACATGGCCAATCCATATATTTGCTTTTCTTATTTTTTTTTAATTTAATTTAATCTTTATATTATTATTTGAGAAGTACATTCTAATGTTTGGGTATAAGAATAAGAAAAATATCTATTTGGATAGAAGAATAAATGGAAAGAAAAGTTGTTTGGATGTAAGAATAAGAGAAAAATCTATTTGGATAGAAGAATAAATGGAAAAAAAATTGTTTGGATACAAGAATAATAACTTAAAACAAACTAATGGTTTAGAAAACTTCCGTTTTTCAGCTCTTAAATCTGCAAAAAAGAAAAACTAACATAAAATATCAATAAAATATGATCGAATGATATTTGCAAAATTTCCAATAATGAAATAGAAATACGTCTAATTTAAATCAAATTGTGGATTTCTGTTCTGTTTGCGTTTGAGATTTTTGGGGTTAAGTTTAGGGTTTTCGGGTTTAGACAAATTGAAAAAGTTTGGGTATTTTAAAATTTTTATTAGGGTTTTTAGGTCGGGTTCAGGTGAAATTTTTAAAGTTTCGAGTTGTTTTTTTAAATTTATTCGGTTCTGGGTTTTCGGGATTTTCTGGATTTTGGGTTTTCAGGTTTAGACATATTAAAAAGGTTTGTTTTTTTTAAAATTTTTTATTAGGGTTTTTGGATCGGGCTCGAGTTTAGGATTTAGATTTTCTTCACAAAACCGCAACGTTAGACCGTGCGTTTGCGCGGGTCCTCTACTAGTTTACTATACATTCAAGAAAAAAAATTCAAAAAACTAGGACAACAAAGATATCCAGTTTTTTCTCTATTTTTTTAAAATTGATAATGTCAGTAATTTTTATAAAGAGAAATTTTAAAACTACATCTGTAGTATCTATTTTTAAAACTATACTTTTTTTATCAAGTAAAAGAAATCTAAACCGTAACTCTAAACTCTAAAGATTAAAATCTAACCTTAAACCCTTAAATCTAAACTCTGAATCCCAAAATCTAAACATATTAATTAAATATTAGTAAACCTAAAATTAGATGTTAAATTTTGGAAGAATTGAAACTTAACAGAGAAATTTTAAGAAATACACCTCTTATGTGTTAATTTTTAAAACCGACGGAAGAATGAGCCAATTTGTTCAAGCCTCTGTGCCATGGATCGCCAATATCCTCGTTGGTTGCGGTTTCCCGATACATGGTAATGCTTAAGTTAACTCAATTTTTTGTGCTCAATTGAACACAGTTTTGTTAGATGTCTTACCATGAAAAAGGTGCTCACAAGCCTTTTGGATCCTACTGGACCAGATAGAATGTCCCACATGTTGCTGTCAATCAGACCTGAAGGAGGCTGGAGCACGAAGAACACGCCTTCTTCATTGACTGGGAGATCAGCTACCTCAGTCACCCTGAATACCTCTGGATGTGCCATCGCAGCTGTGAAAAGAGTCCTCACTCCTTCATAGTCGAGCCAAGCAGTTGTGCTTACCCAGAGGTAAGCCATCACGCCTGCAAAACCACCAAAAACATCTCATCTGATCTATCTTTGTGGCTCTTGCTCATATGCATCTCATCTAATCAATCTTTTCCTCTCTCATGTTGCAGATCTATCTCGAAAGCAAGCAAGCAAGATAGCTCGGAAATTACACCTATTGGGCCGTATCATGTAAATAGCATATTTCCTTATTCATAAGATCTTATAGCTTGTAGTGCAAATCTAGAATATTCTCTTAGGTGTATATAAACCATGTAACTATGATCAATAATACACAAGAATATTTCCTCTCTTATCACGTCTTACATGGTATCAGAGCAAGAACCCTAAAAAAAAAAAGGGAAGAAGAAGAAGAAAAACACGGGGTAGAAAGAAGCGACGGGAGAACAAGGAGCGATTGTACGTGCAGGAGCTACTAAAGAAGCAACTCTCTCACCGATGTATCTTCATGCATCAAATGGTCCGGGGAACCTCATTACGACGGTTCAATTGAAAGGAGAAAACTATGAAGACTGGTCCAAGCATATGCGGAATGACTTGCGGACTAAAAGGAAACTTGGTTTCATTGATGAAACTATCACGAAACCAAAGACGGCAAAGGAGGTTGAACAGTGAGAGGTGGTCAATTCGATGATGGTGGCATGGATAATGAACACCATAGAACCCACTTTGAAATCTTCAGTTTCCATGGTTGAGGAAGCCAAGGTGTTATGGGATGATTTGAAGTTACAATTCTCGGCTGGGAATGGACCGAGAGTTAGTGAAATCCGAGCTGATTTGGCGAACTGTCGGCAGTAAGGAGACACGGTGATAGTGTACTTTGGGAAACTTAAGAAGATGTGGGATGAGCTGGCCGTGTATAAGCCTAGTCGATCATGTAAGTGTGGAGAGATGGCAGTGATGTTGGAAGCTGATCGAGATGAAGAACGCACCAACATGTTTCTTAATGGTTTGGATGCCAAGTTTGGTACCGTAAGATCCACGCTTAACAGCCTTGAGCCACTTCTGAAACTTTCACAAGTTTATCAACGGATAGTGAGAGAAGAGAGGTAACTCAACGTGACACGGAGCAGAGATGACAAGGTCGAGGCTGTTGGCTTTGCTGTCTCCGCAGGAACTCCCAATTACACGCCTCACTATCAAGAGCGTGAGAAGGATGTTACTTGCACTCATTGTGGCAAGTATGGGCATGCGATGGTTGATTGTTTTCAGATTAAGGGACATCCGGACTGGTGGGGTGAGCGAGGAAGAAACATGGCTGGCCGAGGTGGACGTGGAGGAAGATTTGGTCGTGGTGGTGGAGCAGCTGGAGCTGGAGGTTTTGCTGGTCGTGGTCGCGGCACACCTTCTGGTGGTCGTGCCAATGTAGTCCAAGTTGGACCAGTAGCAACAACAGCTGCAGCGAATCTTACTTAGAAAACAGAGTTTGATCGAAACTCTTTACCAAATCTAACGGATGAGCAATGGACTTTAGAGGTGAAGTTGCTTAGCACAAAGCAAAGTGATTTGGTTGACACATTGACTGGTAAGAAAGTTGATGTTGAATTTATTATTGACACAGGAGCATCTCATCACTTTACGTGGAAGATTAATCTTCTACAAAATGTGGTCGATATATACTCTTGTTCTATCGGACTACCGGATGGAGATAAAACATAGGCGATTAAACAAGGGGATATCTACTTAGGAGGAGATTTATGGCTGCGTAGAGTTTTATATTGTCCTGATTTGAAATGTTCATTGATCTTTGTTGCTAAATTACTCAAGATTACTAAAGGATCAATTACATTTACTGAGGATCTTTGTGTTTTACAGGACCGTTCTATGAAGACGCTGATTGGGGCGGGTGAAGAGTGCAACGAGGTCTATGTGTTTCGAGGGGTCATCAGAGCTAGTGCTCATAACATCGCAGCAAAGAGTTCAGGGGGAAGAGATTTATGGCATCGCCGTTTAGGTCATCCATCTAGTAGGATTTTATCTTATTTGTTGAGTTATGTTGATGTTGGGAAACCGGCACACATGGAAACCGTTTGTGATACTTGTTTTCGAGCTAAACATACTAGAGATTGTTTTCAAGAAAGTTATAATAAAGCTGCTGAGTTATTTGGTTTAATTCATTGTGATATTTGGGGGCCTTACCGAACGGTTTCTTCTTCCGGAGCATCTTACTTTCTTACTATTGTAGATGACTTTTCTCGTGCTGTTTGGATCTATCTGTTACGAGAGAAGAGGGAAGTTGCTAGTACAATTGAGAAGTTTTGTGCTATGGTTGATCGTCAGTTTGATAAGAAAGTAAAAATCCTTCGGAGTGATAATGGGTTGGAGTTTATGTGTTTGAAGCCGTTTCTTGAGAAGGAAGGAATGTTACATCAGACCTCTTGCGTTTACACGCCTCAGAAAAATGGTAGAATGGAGCGCAAACATCGACATATTTTGAATGTGTCTCGATCAATTATGTTTCAAGCTCATTTACCGATACAATTTTGGGGAGAATGTGTTCTTGCTGAAGCACATTTAATCAATCGTACACCGTTGACATTACTAAATGGGAAGACGCAGTATGAGTTGCTTTATAATGAGCCTCTACCATTTAGTAAGTTGAAGGTGTTTGGGTGTTTATGCTATGCTCACAACGTATCAAGGGATAAAGATAAATTTGGGGAACGAAGTCGAAGGTGTGTGTTTGTCGGCTATCCGAATGGGCATAAAGCTTGGAGGGTGTTTGATTTAGAAACTGAGGAATACTTTTTTTCTCGTGATGTGGTTTTTCACGAGAATGAGTTCCCGTTTTCTTCTCCACCAAAGGCAACAGAGGCTCTTCCCATTGTTTCCATACCGGAGACTTGGGACGATGATTTTGAGAAACATGGTCAACTTGTCACGACTCTCATGGAGATACATGAGCCTACTGGTGGTGACGTGAGGGGGAGTTCAGAGGAGACTAATGAAGTAAGAGAAGATAATGAAGTCAGGGGAGTTCTGATGGAGTTGACGTGAGGGGGAGCTCAGACAATGAGATTGTTGTAGCTAATCAAAGAGAGCCAGATATGGGAAGAGGGAAACGACAGAGATCAATGCCTTCTAAACTGAATGATTATATACTCTATGCCACTTGATGCACTATAGACCCCACACCTCGCACTCCAACCTCAGCGTCTTCTCGTCAAGGTACGGTTCCTTGTCCGATTTTGAACTATGTTATAAAGGCAAAGCATTGGGATGCAGCTATAAGGGTGGTTCGTTATTTGAAAGGTAGTCCAGGGAAAGGGATCTTGTTATCGGCCAACAGTGATCTTCGTATTTCAGCCTACTGCGATGTAGATTTTTCTGCATGTCTTCTTACTAGGATGTCGTTGAGTGGTTTTATTGTTCTTCTTGGCAATTTTCCTATTGCTTGAAAAACGAAGAAACAACAGACGGTGTCTCTCTCTTCTGCTGAAGCTGAATATCGAGCTATGGGGTTTACGGTGAAGGAGTTGAAGTGGAATCGTGCGCTACTCTCTTGCTTTGGTATTCAGCATGAAAATCCGATTGTATTGTTTTGTGATAGTCAGGCTGCACTTCACATTGCTGCGAATCCGGTCTTTCATGAACGTACTAAGCACCTCGAGCGTGACTGTCATTTCGTTCGCAATGAGATTGTGGCAGGAGTCTTGGCCACAGCTAAGGTGCATACATCAGAACAACTTGCGGATGTACTTACAAAGGCCCTCAGTGTTTCACAGCTAAGTTGGGCATTCTCGATCTACATGCGCCAACTTGAGGGAGAGTATTGGGCCGTATCATGTAAATAGCATATTTCCTTATTCATAAGATCTTATAGCTTGTAGTGCAAGTCTAGAATATTCTCTTAGGTGTATATAAAACATGTAACTATGATCAATAATATACAATAATATTTCCTCTCTTATCACGTCTTACATCACCTATATCCGATTTCAGTTCAAGCAAGCAGTACATCTTTACGGTGTAAATTTTTAAAATTACACTTTTTCTAAATTTAGCATGTGAATTTGGGTTCATTAATCCCTAATTAGAGTATAGACTTTGGGGTTTAAGGTTAGATTTTAGGGTTAGAGTTTAAATTTAGGGTTTAAAGTTGTTTACTCATTGAAAAAGCTCTAGTTTTGAAAATAGTGTAGTTTTAAAATAGTCACCCTAAATGTGTACTTTTGAAAATGTACACCTAAGAGCATCTCCAACCCAGCCCCATATTTCACCTTTATTGCCATTTTTAACTCAATTTTGCTCCAACCCAACCTCATTTTCAATCTCAAAATGGCAAAATGCCATTTTTTTTCCCAAAATGAGATTGATCCCATTTTCATCTCCATTTTGGAGTTGAAGTTTTTAATTTATATAACAGTCCTTGAAGTTTTAAATTAATTCAGTTTAAGATATATAATTAATTATTTTGATCTTTATTTTTACTCTAAAATACAAATAACACATATTTAATAAGAAATTTAATTATTTAAGCTAATAATAAATTTTAAAAAAAGAAAAACACTTTTTTAGAAATAACATCAAAAAGAAATTTATTAAAACAACTTATTACTGATTTTTAATTTAATTTAGTTTCCGGATCCACCAATATCACTAAAATATTGTCCAAAAGAAGTAGTTTGTGAGAGTTCCTGTTGAACTTATTACTTACATAACATAACGACTACATGTATAATTTTACATAACATGATAATCGAGGATGAACATGATCTGAGTGCACCAATTGAAATTGAAAGAGAAGCTCCACCTCCAGAAGTCGAAATAGCCGCAAACGATGATATTCAGTTCCAGAATTTTCTTGCTCGATTTAGAGAGATTAAAGATAAAGATGCTCATTTCTCTCTTCGAAATGGTTTAGTTGATCATTTATGGGAAATATATTCAAATGGTTCTAATTAAAAATAAAATCCATTTTATGTTGTTATTTTTAGTCTTGTAATAATGTATTATTAATATTTTAATAATTAATTTAAATAATTATAATTAATTGTGAAAGTTTTGAAGAAAAAAAATATATGGGGCAATTTGTAATAGATATAAATATACAATGTAAATTTAGTAATTAATAAAAAGTTTTTCAAAAAGAATATTCATTGAAGCAAAAAATGAAGCAATACATTGGAGCAAAACTCAACCCCATTTTGAGATTTCTTCATTTTGGAGCAAAATATGGGGCAATACATTGGAGATGCCCTAAGTTGTAGTTATGAAATTTCCACAAATTAACATCATAGAGATGTAGTTTTGAAAATATACATCCAAGAGATATATTTCTTAAAATTTATCTTTTAAAAATAAATAATTTAAAAGTCAAATTTGTAAATTACATCCGCAATTTATATGTACGATATAAAAATGTTGTTGTTTCCTACTTTCTTGAGGAAACGTCTTGGTCTTCGACGACGAGGCAGGTGAGTCATAATCATAAACCCAAAGAGAGAAGATAAACTTTCTCTATTTTATTTATTTATTTACGCATATTAAAGAGAGTTTCCACTAAATTTTCCGGGAAACTGTCGAATCAAAGCAAAGTCTCCTTCCTAGTCCCTAGTCCCTACACCCTTCTCCTTCCCTCTATAAAAAGTCTTCCTGAAAATCGAACAGACAATTCAATTCGATCCCTCTGTTAGATTACTCTGACCATCTTCGGCTTATAAGCTATAACCGGAGAGAGTGAATTGTGATGGGTAATAGACATAGTGCTGAGCAGATCCCTCTTTTATTTAAAGGCGAGACTGACAATTACCACGGCGTTACCGTAACAATAGAAGAACCAATGGAAGCTGAGGTTTTTACAGAAAGGCTTAGGGCTTCGCTTTCGCATTGGAGAGAAGAGGTCTTTAAACTAAAACCATCCATTGAATCTCAAAGTTTGAAATCATATGATACGAAAGTCAAAAAAGTCTAACTTTTTTCTTTTGTTTATTGTTGCAGAGGAAGAAGGGGATTTGGATAAAGCTGCCACTTAATTGTGCTAATCTTGTAGAGTCTGCAGTTAGTGTAAGAGGGTTTATATGAGATGATTTTGGATGTCTTTCTTGTTTTTTTATTTTTTATTTAATGAATTTTTGGTTGATTTAGTGGAAATTTTGTTTGATTTCTTCAGGAAGGGTTTAGGTATCATCACGCAGAGCCTGATTACTTGATGCTTGTGTCTTGGATCTCTCGAAAGGTTGATACCATCCCAGCCAATGCTTCTCATATTGTTGGTATTGGTGCTTTGGTCCTCAACAACAAGACTGGAGAGGTATAACCAATTTCTTCGTCTTCTTTGAATCTTTAAAGGACTTTTGATCTGTGTCTTTTTTTTTTTTTTTTTTTTTTCTCTAAACATTACTTCAATTTGGTGCAGGTCCTCGTTGTTCAAGAAAGGAGTGGTTATTTCAAAAATAAAAATGTGTGGAAGCTGCCTACAGGTGTTGTCAACGAGGTGATTTGCATCTTTGACTTTTTTTTTTCTAGTCTCATTAAACAATTACAATCGAAATATATAAAGAGTTGAATCGAGTTTCATGCAATCTTGGTGAATGGAGTTTCTAGGATCCTGTTGCTCCTAAGTCCTAAATGTCTGATGAACTATATGAGAAGCTTTTGAAGATATGTAGCGGCTTAACTCTTCTTCATAAGTAGTGTAGTATATGATATAGCATAGCATAGGACTGAATGTAGATGTAGTAATCGGTTAGAGCGTCATTAGTGAGTGCTTTTGGCTGATAACTTGTTGGTGAAATTGGAGAAGCAAATAAGTTTCCATAACGTCTCTAGTACATAAATTGTGTCAAACGTTCTTTTCTGACTTTAACAAAAACTTTCCAAATCCACAGGGTGAGGATATTTGCACTGGAGTAGCTAGGGAAGTGGAAGAAGAAACTGGTGTATGTGTATCTTGCTTTCTGATTATAAAATATTTCTAATGTAAAAATCTTTTACTTGCCACTTTATTCTAAACTCTGTTTTCATTTGTTTTTACTTCAGATTATTGCAGATTTTGTTGAAGTGTTGGCTTTCAGGTAAATTTATGTTTCCATTCCCTTGGAAATACATTTGATTTGACTTACCCTCATCAGTTCCTAATTGATTTTACTCTTTTCTCTTCTAGGCAAAGCCACAAATCATTCTTGAAAAGGAAATCGGATTTGTTTTTCCTGTGTGTCTTAACTCCACGCTCCTACGAAATCACTGAACAAAAATCTGAGATCTTGCAAGCTAAGGTAATAATACTAACCTTTCTTAACTTTCACTCTTTGATGAGCCAAGACAACATGTTAAAAGTTACTGGTTCCACTGGTTAATATATATCGTTTTGCTTTTTACAGTGGATGCCGATTCAAGAATATGTAGACCAACCATGGAACCAGAAGAACGAGATGTTCAAGTTCATGGCCGACATTTGCCAAAAGAAGTGTGAGGAAGATTACTTGGGATTCTCCACTGTGAAAACTAAAACTTCATCTGGTAAAAAGAGCTTTATCTACTGCAATGCTGATCACGCCCATCGCCTTATAGCAGCTCGTGACCAAGCCTCAACTTCTCTCTGATAACATTGTCATTCGATTCAAACTGATTTCTGTATTTAAAATAAAGCCAGCTTTCTAAGACAATGCATCCTTTGGCATTGTCTTGTAATATATGTACAGCAATTTGTTTCGTTCTCCCTATGTTTTTTGTTGGTTTATTCTCGAAAACATCTACGCTTAACCGAGATTAAGCCAAGAATATGTAGACAAAACTTCAGGTATATGAAGGCATATAATATAATATCAGAATGAAACACCAAAACGGAGAGAAACAATGATCTTCCAAATGTAATGGACAGCAAAATCTTAAAATCATCTAATAGAAAAAAACCCGAAAAGAAAAAAAATTCTCAGAAGTACTTATTACATCAGAAACAAGAACCAAACTAGTTATATAACTTTGCCAAAACGAATTATTTTGTATTTTAAAGTCTCTTTTACTTACCTCGTCCCCTGAAGCAGAGGACATCGAATGAATCTGAATTGTTCACCGGACTTGAGATGGAGAGCATAGCAAACCGATGCGTCTGCGCCAATGACTGCAAGATCACAGACCGTGCAGATGTTTCCTTCCTGGCTTGGTACAAAACGAGCGGTGCAGTAAGGACACGAAACGTCTTTCTGTCCTCTGTAGATCGGAACATAAGTGCACCGCATATCACAAACGGGTTTCTGAAATCGTAGTTGAGCTTGGTTTCATCGTTCATGTTACGTTCGGCAGCTTGTATAACTTGTCTAGCCATCTTGGCCTGGCTCTCCACTGGGCTTGTTTCCAACAACCTCCTGGCGAATTTGTCAGCAGTGGCGAGGTTCTTTGCCTTGTAGCAGACTCCCATTGCACTGAGCAGCGAGCCGTAGGTGAGGAGCTTGGAGTTCACAGTGAGTGAAGTAAGCAGCGAGCTCCTGCTGCCTCACAGGATCATCTTTCGTCTCTCTTCTCTTAAGCTCCATTTTAAGACCCAGGACGTATTCTTTAACGATAGTGACCAGATCCTTAACCTCGTCGACTTCTCTTCTTGACTCGACTACCACTAGAGGGATGGTCTGGAGGATTGAGAGGAAGAGACGGAGAGCCTCTGTGAATTTCCCACTGTTGTGGCTTTGTAGCCAGATTTGAGCTTCTCTTCTAGCTGAGAGAATCAAACAAGAGCTGGCATGCCACGGACGTTGGGACTGGAAGACTCGTTCCATCCACGCTCAATGGCAAGTGAAACCACAGGAGATGAAGACAAAGCACGCAGATAGCTATGGCTGCCACTGAACAGATCAAGAAACATCGTTTCAGAGGCGCAAAGTTCTTTATGCCAAGCTGTCTGTGGAGCAGACGCATTGCAGTGTCAAAGCTTCCCGCTGCAGCTTGCTCAGCAGCAAGGGAAGATTTCTGGCTCCAGATCTGACTTACGGGCATACCCTGAGTAGGTGTGACAAAGACCGATGAACGTGCGTTAGCAGAGACCTTAGGAGTGTCAAGCTCTGGTGGGAGCTCCAAGTCATCAAGTCCCCATCCACCTTCCCCATCGTTTTCTTCTTCTTCCTCTTTCAACTTCTCCCAAATGGATTCGATGTCTCTGTTCTCCAACCCATCAACATCAAGTTCATCAGCCCAATCGCCTTCACATCTTCTTCTTCATCAACAGCACCTCCTCTGGCTGCACTCTCAAGTCCTCCTTCAAATATTCCTTTGAGACTCTAAGAAGAGGCCAATCACCACCACACATGACAGGAGACGGTGGCATCAGAAGCGATGGAGTTTTCCCTTCAGGCAAAGTGGGCACGTTGTCTCCTAGCTCAGCCGCCAGACGCTCAGCAACGTCAGTCAAACCATGAACCGAAGCTGTGATATAAGCTAGAGGCAGATGACCAGCATTCTCGAGTATTTTAACACGCTCTTTGACATCTCCTAGGTACAAAGCATTATGGAACTGACCCATCACGTTGTTCTTCACTTCTGCAATCTTCATCAACTTTGAAAGCTTGTCCAAATTGCCAGTAATGAGATACAGAAATGACAACCTCTCAAAGTTCTTTGTCTGCTGGTATGCAAACTCAACAATTCCAGAATTGCCTTGGCGAAGAGCCTCCACCCCAAGCCTGTACCAGAGGTCTTTCTCGTTAATCTGCGTCGCGGATGCAACAGCTACACCAATGTTGCCACTTTCAAGAGCCAGGTTGAATCGGATCCTCTCGTCTTCGACAAAATGGAGAGCAACTTCAGGGAATCCTTTCTGCTGCAGGTAAGCAATCATAGCCTGTCCACAAGCTGGGAGTTCTTTATCATGCTCATGACATGATCATATCTCTTTCTCAGCAGTGCAAGCTTGAAAATGTATTCAGTCGCATTGATGGTGATAACCCTGTTTTTCCCATCCCGGTCCAAGCAAAAGATTGTATTTCCAGAAACCTTGGTGATATAGATAGGGACATCCAGGGTTCGGATGATTCCACTATCCCCATTAGGAAGACAGTACTTGATGTGGTTCAAAGTCGTGTAAATGAAGACACCATTGTCGTCCCAAGCTCCACTTTTCACACGTATTGTCTCATGAAGCGTGCACTGTAGGACCAGCTTTTTGCTCGCAATAATGATAGTATGTTTGCTGAGCAAAGCGACGCTCTCCATATCGTTAGACCAAACAACATACCTAACAAACGGTGTCTGAAGTTCACCAAGAACAAGCCTTTGTTGAAGGTCAAATATAACCACTTTATCCTCAGATCTACAAAGCAAATTTCCAGTCCCAGCGTAAAAGATAGCATCTGTGGGAATAGGCAGAGGACTCTTTTTAACCATCTCATTCTTTAGATTCTTGACTAGAACTTGGCTGGTGCTTTTCTCTAGAACAGCAAACCGGTTACGGGCAATGAATACCGCAGAACCACCTGTCCCCTCTTTGCGTCCTGAACAACGTCACTCCTGCCAACGCTATCTTTCGGTATGATGTACAACTCGTAAGAACCACCATCCAGTCTGAGCAGATCAAACTGCATTTTGTCGGACTGTAAGATAGAGTTCTTGGACTTTGATTCAAGCTTGGAGTACCAGGACGCCGAATAGGGATAACTTGGGAATCTTTTTGAGTTGAATACTCGTAAAACCTCAAAAATCTATCCTTGCAATAGAACAAAGAATCACCACTTAAAGCAAACGCAGGACGTTCTCTCTCAAGTTTGAACACGATCATACCGTTGTCATGCCCTGCTGCTAGCAAATTCAATCTCAGGGTGAACTGCAAAGAATCCAGAACCGATCATGTTCACGACGGAAAGTCTGAATTCCAGTTCGCTTGGTAGCATCCCAGACACGGATGCTCTTATCCTCGGAGTTTGATACAATTATGTCCTGTTTTGCATGGAACATGACTGATGAAACGTTATTCATATGGCCTCGCAGTGTATCCACCTCCCAAGCTTTAGTTTCTGCAATATATTGATAAAAAACACATTACTAACTCAGCTCGGCTCTTTCGAGATTACAAACAAGTAATTCGTATTCAGATATAAATTTTATGCAGAAAAAGGATAGCATCGAAAATTACCATTCATACGCCACAGCTTTACTTGGCGGTCATCTGCACCAGAGACAATGAGAGGAAGGTGGGATGAAAGAAGCCCAGTTTACACCTCTGTCGTGACCTTCAAGGACGTACTTAACTATAGCATCAACTCCACCAAAAAGATCAGAGTTCATCTGAGTAAATCGCATGATGTCATCAGCAGGAGATACTGTCTTCTTCCTAAGAGAACCAATATCCCAGACACGGACAGTCTGATCTAAGGAAGCTGATACGACAAGGTCTTCTTTTGGGTGGAAAGAAGCACACATAACGTAGTGATTGTGACCAGTTAACACAGAAATACAAGTCCGTGACTGCCAGTTCCATATGCGGATAGTCTGATCGTCACTTGCACTCACAATCCATGGGTTTTCGTGGTGGAATTGGACAGTCCGGATATAATCGAGATGCCCCAGAAGAGTGAAAAGGCACCTGTGATTTTTGTAGTTCCAAACTTTAATCTTGTAATCATCACCTGCAAGATTAAGCCATCAACTACATATGAGTAATAATCTGGAAGAGAATTCGTATAATTGTAATGAAGAAGAAGAATCATTTACAGGTTTAATTTGCATTTACAGGTTTTCATTTTTTGCTTAAGTAAAAACACACTACTAAAAATCATACAGCTTGGGCTACATGAGCTTAAGCATTCAGTAAACCGAAGTTGGGACATATCAACACAAGGATTCTCTGCCAAGACCACAAGCTAGATCTAGAAACCAAGCTTGCTAAGAATTCCTACTTAAGCAGAAAGATCATGAAAATTATATCTATATACGTGAGTGAACCTCAAATTATAGATGAGACGTAATTTGTGTTCAGAAGAGAGCATACCTCCTGAGACGAACAAAGGCTGTGAATTGTGGAAATGAACACCACGAACAGGTCCTTCGTGCTCGTCAAATCTATCGATCAAAGTACCCATGCGATAATCCCAGAGCTGGATCACACCACTGTGCAAACTGGCGAGGATCCATGGTCTTTTAGGGTGGAAGGTCAGACCCTTAACTCTGTTACTCTTGGTCTCGAACTTCGTCAACATAATCTCCGATAGTGAATCAGGCTCTACAGAAACCAGATCACAGAGAACGAATCAGGTAACCTGAAGCTCCCTCAAAAAAAAAAAAACGTAATAATCGCTATGAGATTGCAGATAGATCTAAATGCAGCAATGGAGTGAGATCAAAACAGGCAAAATTGAATAGCAAGGAGAGAACAATGGGGATACCACAGATCAGATGAGCTCACGAACGAAACGATTAAGCAGATGCGTCACGCTAATGGTCTGCAGCTTTACCGGTAATCGTAGGTTTTAGATTGAGGAATGGAGCGAGAAGAAGAAGAGGAGGAAGAAGAAGGTGGAAATCAATATAGATCTGAGTGAGTCTCTAACGCCCAGATCTATATATTCTGTGTCGATTTCTCTTTCGCAATTACAATTGAGACAAAAACAATATATATACAGGGAATGAAAAATTAAATAACGGACTACTATTGGTCTACTGACGCAATTTTATTTGATTTTTGCTATTACTGCAAAGTATTTTCCAACAAAACTATAAATCTTGGCACATTTATTGGTCTAATGATGCAAAAAGAGATTTTTTCATATCGAAGGAATTCTCACTGTAATATAGTTTTCTGACTAAAAGGAACCTCCTAAACAATACTAAAGCACAAGCCACTTGAGCAATTAAAATATGACATGTGGAAAATCATTTAAAATTTAAAAAAACAATTTCACAGAAAAAATGAATAAAGTCACATAATCAAAATTGACAACGAAAACCTAAATTAATATGGCACAAAGTTATCTAGAGTAAAACTATCAACCAAATCAGAAAATGATTATCAACCAAATCAGAAAATATGAATCTGATTTGGTTGATAGTTTTACTCTAGAGTAAATTAAACTATCTAGAGTAAAATAACTTTAAAGCATCTTACGTGATCTTATTTATTTGATTTTAACTTATTCTAGAGTAAAACTATCAACAAAATCAGAAGTTATGAATATTTTGATTATAACAACTTAAAAATTGCAAAAACAAGATTCAAGTCACTCATAAGTCAACTTAAAAAAAAGTCAGCATGTAAATATACTAAAAGATATCTCCAAAAGCTTATTTTTACATTACTGAGAGATCACTATTCTAAAAAAATCATCATAACAAAACAAAATTGTTGTTAATTTTTGGGAACAAAAAAAATTGAAAGAGAAATTAACCCATGATTACGTAAGGGAGGACATATAGTTACTATACCAATTCTCAATTAAATTAATAATTTGGTATTGTTTTAATCATGCGCATCGCATATGTCAAAATATAGTATCAACTAATAGTTAAACAGATTCGAGAAACTGGAAGAGTATGTATAAAATCCATTAGAACTGGAAATAAATATGAACCCGTAGTCTTTTTTTGTATACATTGAATATTTCAATGATCATGATGGTATATTTTTAATTGTAGATATTGTATATAACAAATGTAAAAATCCAATTGATAATCTGGATTAAAGCCTTAACATTCTGAAATTCATGCAAAAATAATTTACATGAATAAAAGTATTTAAATTATTAAAATATTTTTGTTTTACTTCAACTGTTTAACCATATAATTAGTTTGAATATGATAAATAAACTGCAAATAACACAATGATATATGTTAAATGTATTTCATTTATAATTTTATTTTGATAAGAAATCTAAGTAAATTAATAGAAAAAGGTCATAGGGATAAATCATCCTTGGTCCTTTCGACATCAGATTCTCGCCCGCTTTCTCCCCATTAACCAATTACGTTACGACCACTGAACAAACTATACAAGGATTCACTATGGAACCTTCAATGGTACAAAATTCAAAAGTATTGGTTATGTTTTTCAGTTCATTTTTTTCATTTGTAATTGATTTTGTAAATAGCATTCCTATTTTAATTACTAAGATTTTTTTTTTTCTGTTTCCAGCATCTATTCAACTTTTTCTCCTCTTCATGTATTATATATATACACATCTAAATTCTTATGAATACAACAGTAACGTATATACTCTCATTACACTATTTGCTTTTTGCTTTTGTTCTTTTTGTTTTAAAAAATTCATTTGAAGTGTATCATCAAAGATGACTAAAGCCGTCGTTATTGCTATTTTTATGATCGTCATCTTTCTAGGTTTTTACTTTGCATTTCCCACTCTCTAAATATATTAGCAAACTAATACTTCAAAAATTAACTAACATGTATATAGATCTTCCCTTCAATTCAACATTTTGTTCAGTGCATTTTTATCATAAATAAACGATTAATCCAAGTATGTTTTTTTTATCTATCAAGGATGGTCATGAAAGAGACGCAATGACAAGAGATGTGTCGGGATCTTTTGATGAGAGCAACATGTGAACCTAAAGCATGTGCCGATCTGTGTACCCAAAAGTGGAAAGGAAGCGGCAATTGCATCCAGAATATACAAGTGAAGAGTTGTCTTTGCACTTTTCCTTGCAAGATTTGATTATTTTTTACGATCTACCAATAATACAACAATAATAATTTATACTATAATAGTTGAATATCTCTCTCGCGTTAGTCTTTCCGTGTTATGTGGAGCTGACATGTGTCATTTAGAAAATTAAAATTTCACTCTTTCATGATTTTTCATTTTCTGCGTTCAAGTTAGCTCTTGACATTCTCAGTTTTAAATAATATTTTACAGAAAAAAATTATTGTTCGAAGATCTAAAGTAAAATAAGTATTCATTATCTATTTAAAAATTTGTGTATAATATATTTTTTCATTAGCTTACACATTAAAATATATGAGAACAGTAGGTATAAATAATATAATTATAGCAGGTGAAAATCGAGATAGTTCATATATAGGAGAATCATATTCAAAGAAAGTATCTTATAAATTATGATTTTACTTTTTTTTGTTTGGTTCCAAAAGATGTGAAATAAAGTCAAATAAATTTTAAAATTAACAAAGTTAATGTATGAAGATATATTTTAGCGATTCTTTGTGCTGGCGACGCATCATTCAAGGGACGCTTTCTCTCTCTTCTCTCTCTAGAATATTTCAGAGAGAGAAAGCTCTTTTCTCCTTTCTTCTCCGATTTAGATCGGATTTCTGTTCTGTTTAATAATAATCCGATCTTGATCGGTGTTTAGTTCCGGTTTTGTCCGGTTTTGCTTTCCGACTTAGTTCGGCTGTTAATATCCGGCTGTGTCCGGTTGTTTTGTGTGTTTTTTTATTTTGTTCTCTTGTTCTTCTTCGTGAACCGGCCTCTTCTTCTACCAATTCTTCCATCTCTTATGATGAGGTCAGGATCTGTTCATGATAGATCGTTTTCTTCTTTGTCAATTATTTGCTCTTATCATCTTATTGTAGGGAGTAAAATCTTTTCACCCTTCCGCTAAAGGGCCTTTGATTAGGTTTAGGGGTGGAGTATCCCAAGCAGTATGGTGGTCGGAGATGGAGTTTGTGGTGGCGAGAAGAATTCAGATCTCTGTTCATGGCGGAATCTGTTCGGAAGAGGAACTTCCAGTACGAATCCGGAGTGGAGCGCTGCTTCGGCGAGGCGATTCTAGGAGGCACTGCATCGGCTGTCAGCCGGCGGTTTGCTTTTCCGGCGCCGCTTTCCAACAATCTTCTACATCTAACACGTGTAGACACATATATCACATGCAGTACAATTAGGTTTATCATTGTCTTATATGATGGGCTTAATTTGTTTGGGCTTTATTTTATAAGGTTGTTGGTTGAAATCACATTTGTACTGGGTTTGCCCATTTTTGGGCTTTTAAATGAATCAAAGTTGCTAACAAAAAAAAAAAAAGAAGATATATTTTAAAATACAATAACAGAGCTTAAATAAATTCATAGGATCTAAAAGAAGCAATGGGTCTTGGATCATGGATATTTTCCACTAGAAAGACAAAAGACGGTTAAGTGCAGAACTTCGCATATGCGGTTCGTTAAGCATCTTGGAAAATGCAAGATCGGTTCGGTTCAAGATCGGTTCAGAACCGGTACAACCGTTTAAGAAACGAGTCGAGAACACGGCGATGTACATAAAAAGAAAATATCCGTTTGATTTTTTTTTTCCACAATTCTTCACCAAAACTTTTTTTTTTATATTTTTCCCCAAATATTTTCTCTCCCCCTCAAACCAAAACCCTAAGAATTCCAAGTTTTCTTGATTGATCTGATTGGTTTGGGTTTCTTGCTCGCCGTGGAGGTTAGACTTTCGTTTTAGCGTTTCCTATTCCCCTAATCATTCAAACATTGTTTTTATTTCCATGATTTTGAAAGTCTTGTTTCTCCGTTTAGGGTTTTTTAATTTCTGTTGGCGATTTTGAAACTTTTAGTCCTCTGTTTATGCTTGGGTTTTCATTTTCGCTGGCGATATTGAAACTGTTAGTCCTAATCGTTCAATGATTGAGTTTTTTTCAGTGATTTTGAAAGTGGTATTTCTCCGTTTAGTGTTTTTAATTTTGCTGTTGATTTCGAAAGTTTTCATCCTCTGCTTATGCTTGGGGTTTTCAATTTCGTTGGCGATTTTGAAACTTTAAGTTATCTGTTTATGATTGAGTTTCCAAATTTCGTTATTGTTCTATATAACTTTCAAAGAGTACCTTTTTCTTTTATATTTTTGGTTGATGTCTTGTTCCTTGCAGTTATCTTGATTCCCTTTGTTTCTTTTTGATACAGATCAGATCAGAAGAGAACGTTTACCATGGAATCCAACAAAAGACAGTTTTCTTTTCCTAAATTACTAAACTCTGTAAGAATCTCTGGCCACGTTACTGAATTTTTCTGCTTTTCCTGTTTCCATAGCTGTTGTTCTTAGGAACAGATAGAGAGGAACAGCTCTATCTTCATTGAACTAATGTGTCAGCGAATGAGTGCACAAGTTGTGTGTGCTCTGAGCAATTGAATGTATTTTCCTGAATAGCATGTAAATGCTCGTTTGCTTCATGTCTCAGGGATTACTGTAGTAAAGGAATCGAAGACATGATAGAGTGAGATTGAAACAACAAGATCCACAGCCGTACTTGTCTTTTGGTCTCACTTCAAATGTATGTGTTCTCTTTCTCTTCAATCTTGTTGCAACAAGTCTCTGACGTTAGTGAAAAGATCTGCATCTTCATAAATCTTAATTTTTCAGGAATCCTAAATGATATTTCATCACCTTTATGTTTTGTTCTTGATACAGGTTTGGCTATAGGAGTGTTGAGCCTCAGCTTCGTGATTCCTCAGGTAATCCCTCAGATCTCATAGCCTTTTGGTTTGCTTTGCTTTTGTTTTTCTTCTAAACCATCCCCAAAAAGATCATCATAGACAGGCACTAATCTCATAGTGTTCTGTCTGATTCTTATTTTGGAACATTGTCCCGTTGGCCGTTGGTTGGTAGTGCATGTCTAAGGAAATAACATTGTCCCATTGGTCGTTGGTTGGTAGTGCATGTCTAAGGAAATAACATTGTCCCATTGGCCGTTGGTTGGTAGTGCATGTCTAAGAAAGGAACATTGTCCCGTTGGTCGTTGGTTGGTAGTGCATGTCTAAGGAAGGAAAATATGACACACGGCTTAGAAAGTCTTTATTGACAAAGACTCTGGATCTGTTTTTCGATTGTTTGGATGGAACAGAGGGTGTAACGAGGGATTAAAAAAATTCTTAAGGCAAAGACTATGAATCGAAAGCAGACTCGGTAACTTTACCCACGGCTTACAAAACTCTTTAGAGAAAGATAATGGATTGTTGGATGGAAAATAACGACCAACAGTTTGAGAGAGTCTTAAGACAACAGAAAGAAAGACTATGAATGAGAACTATATGTTCGATAACCCCAAGGCTTAAGGGTCTTAAAGAAGGCTTGTTGGATGGAAAATAACGATCAACAGCTTGAGAAAGTCTTAAGACAACAGAAAGATAGACTATGAGCCGAGAACTATATGTTCGTTAACCCAAGGCTTAAGGGTCTTTAGACAGACTCTAAGTTTGGTTTTCAACGTGTTGGATGGGAAAAAAAAAGACTAATGTCTGATGGAAAGTAAAACAACCAACGATCTGAAGAGTCTTATGACAAAGACTGAGGTGAGAATTATTTGGGAACACTGTCTCGTTGAGATTTGGGTTGGTAGTGCATGTCTAAGGAAGGCAAGTATGTCACACGGTTGAAAAAGTCTCTATTGGCAAAGACTCTGGATCTGTTTTTCGATTATTTGGATGGAACAAAGGGTGTAACGAGGGATTAAAAGACTATGAATTGAAAACAGATCCATAGTCTCTCTGTCAAAGACTATGAAAGACAATGGGTCGAGTTTAGACATGTTGGATGAACAAAAAAGAGACTAATGTCTTAAAGAAGGCTCGTTGGAATAGAAAATAACGACCAACAGCTTAAGAAAGTCTTAAGACAACAGAAAGAATGACTAAAGAACTATATGTTGGGTAACCTCAAGGCTTAAGAGTCTTGAGAAGGCTTGTTGGATGGAATAACGATAAACACCGTGAGAAAGTCTTCAGACAACAGAAAGAAAGACTATGAGCCGAGAACTATATGTTCGTTAACCCCAAGGCTTTAGAGTCTTAAAGAAGTCTTGTTGGATGGAAAATAACGATCAACACCTTGAGAAAGTCTTAAGACAACAGAAAGAAAGACTAAAGAACTATATGTTGGGTAACCTCAAGGCTTAAGAGTCTTGAGAAGGCTTGTTGGATGGAAAATAACGACCAACACCTTGAGAAAGTCTCAAGACAACAAAAAGAAAGACTATAACTCAAGAACTTGTTGGATGGAAAATGACGAACAACAACTTAAGAAAGTCTTTAAGACAACAGAAAGAAAGACTATGACTCAAGAACTTGTTGGATAGAAAATGACGACCAACAGCTAAGAAAGTCTTTAAGACAACAGAAAGAAAGATTCTTCAACGGCTTAGTCATAAAGAAAGACTCTTACTTAACCACACGGTTTATTACCACAAGGGTTAAAAGTCATTGGACAAAGACGGTGTTGGGTGGAAAGAAATGACAAACAGCTGAAATTTCTTAAGACAATGGGTTAGTTTCTGACTTGTTGCATGGAAAAAAGACCAAAGGCTTATAGAAGTTAAGATTCTTGATAAAGATTATGAATCGAATATAGATTCATACTAAACCACATGGATGGTAAAATCAACTAACGATTTCACAAAGTCTGTGAAGAAAGACTATTGATTGGTTTAGACTTATTGGATGGTGAAAAACAACTAACGATTTCACAAACTCTGTGAAGAAAGACTATGGATTGGTCTAGACTTATTGGATGGTGAAAAACAACTAACGATTTCACAAGTCTCATGGCTTTGAAAAAGTTCCTTAGACAAAGACTGAGTCTGTTTTTCGACTTGTGGGAGGGAAAAACATGAGTCGGATGAAAAATAAGACTAATGTCTTAAAGAAGGCTTGATGGAATGGAAGATAACGACCAACAACTTGAGAAAGTCGTAAGACAACAGAAAGAAAGACTATGAGCCGGTTTCTCAACGTGTGGGATGAAAAAAAGAAAAGATTAATGTCTTTAAGAAGGCTTGTTGGAATGGAAAATAACGACCAACACCTTGAGAAAGTCTTAAGACAACAAAAAGAAAGATTATGAGTCGGTTTCTCAACGTGTGGGATGAAAAAAAAGAGTCTTAAAGAAGGTTTGTTGGAATGGAAAATAACGACCAACACCTTGAGAAAGTCTTAAGACAACAGAAAGAAAGACTATAGTCTTAAGACAACCGAAAGAAAGACTATGAGCCGAGAACTATATGTTCGTTTACCCATGTTAGATGGAAAATAACGATCAACATCTTGAGAAAGTCTTAAGACAACAGAAAGAAAGACTATGGATTGGTGTAAAGTCTTTTGTCAAAGACAATGGATTGGTTAAGACTTGTTGGATGGTGAAAAAACAACTAACGATTTCACAAAGTCTTACGACAAATATTATGGTTTACTCAACCACAAGGCTGTAAATGGAAAATACGACCAACAACAAACAAATGTCATTAGACAAATGTTATGAAACAGATTCACCCACGGAATATGAACCAACAGCTTTAAAGACTACGCAACCGATTCTTTACACTACTCCCATGGAATCTATGGTGAAACAGAGACTAATTAATTCTGATTTCTGTAGGTATGTACTTCAGAAGGTGTTAAAATTGTTAGAGACTCTGAGGAGATGTCAAGTGGAGCAGATTTCTATTAAAGGTATGTGCATCTCAAACTTGTATGTATGTAGTTGATTATGACAATCACAAGCAAGAGAAACATACTAATTTTGATTTCCACTCGACAGGTGTTCAGGTAATTAAGCTTCCAAAGTTCTTGGAAGATTTCTAAAGTTTAGCATATTTCTGTAACAGCTTGATAAAGACTTTTTTATTTTACTTTTTCAGGTATGTGCTTCCTAAGGAGATTTATATTTTTATGGACGATAAGGAGATTTACTTTCTGTGAAGATGGAATTTCACCGGAAACACTGCAAGTAAAAGTAACACTTCGTAGGTCAATCTTGCGTCTGTTGGTGCCATTTCCATTTGGCTAAAGATTCTTTTTTTCTTTGTTCCAGTGGAGTCCAACCGAAGAAAATGGTAATGTTGCAGTGGGATATGTGATGTGGAAAGTCTCATCTAGTATCTTTCAAGGCACATTACAAAAATGTGAAT